CATTCTATATTTCCTCGTACATAACATATTTTGAAAAGAACATGGAAGACGCTCTCTTCTTTATGAGCAAACATTTTCTACTCTTATCTTATTCACTACATAGTTTCCTATATCCATCATTGCTTCTTAGGTATTATTTATGCTTTTTTTCGAACATAGTACAATTTCTCTTTTGCTTTTAATATAATTTTACAGTGTTCTACATATTCGATTTTAACAAAATTATTAGTACCATAGTAAACAGTGTTTTCACATTAGCACAAGAAGTTGGTGCTTAAAATAAAATCCTCACTTACTTAAAATTAAAATCTTCACTATTACCATAAAGTGTTTCCTATTTCAGAATGCAGTTTATTATATACGCTTTTCCATATTTTTTAAATTCTGTAGTATGCATAAATTTCTGTTATAATATTGCTGAATCTTAGATAGAATGAACCTTTTTCTGCATGAACAAAAGTGATTTGATAAATAAATAAAACTATGTAAAAAGCGATTGAATTCTGAAGCGTTTTCTCGGGCTGCAGATGAAAATAACTTAGTGACCGGCATTTTAGGAGTATGAAGAACAGACACGTCAGACAAACAGAAACAAAAATTGGAAAGAAAAAGAGAAACGAATAAATAGACTGAATAAATTGAAAAGAGAAAATGATCGTTCAAGGTTTTATGCCAAAATATCAAATTGACTAGGAAAGAGAATTGGAGAACAAGAAAAGCAAAGTATAAAGAACAAGATATTCTGCGGCAAAGAAAGAGAATCAGATGCGTTAAATAAGCGAAATGTCAATACTGTAGTATGTGAACGAAATGAATGTATATAAACATGCACAGTGAAAGATGAGAGAATGATTGTTCATAATGTATAGCATAGGATGTAAATGCAGTGGAATCCGAAAACTTGATCATATTGCGGGCATTTTTTTTCTGTAAGATGTTCCGTGCAAATAAAACTTGCTCAATTTTGAACAAACGTTCATGAATTTAGGATGTTCAAACTTTTGTTTTCGGCCCTACCTATCTTTATTTGCGAGATGTTGCTACAATGAGAATCAAAATTCTCTATCTAAGTAAAAGTTGAAGAGTTACAAGTGATTTTAAATTGAAGCTAACATTTATGGCCACAACGTACAAGACTTCGATTTTAAGAAATGTTTGATCTGTTGCGCCTGCTTTTTTCTTTTTCGACTTTATTCAGTCTGCCTGTATATTCTATGGTACGTGTTCATGGAAAAAGTATTCGTTCAATCATATTGTAGAAAAGAAAAACTATATAATGTGTATGAAAAACGACTGACCAATTTAATGAGATAGAACAAGCGGAGAAAAGTAATACATGTATATAGTGTTTCTCTTGAATAAACTTGCCCATTACCTCAGTTGTCTCTACCTATATCTATGTCATTTTCATCCACTATTATTCGTAAGTAAGGGAAGATATCAATCAGTATCAGTATTGAAAGATACGGTCAGTAACATCGAATGACAATTGATCAACAAAATGGTGTCAGAAACGATAAGGTGTGGTACTTGTGAATGCTCAGAAATAAAATGAGCACTAAACTTCAAGCCATTCATTAGTTGTTTTGCTTTTTTTGTTTTACTTTTATAGTTATTTCATAAATTTACCTGATTTGATCATCTTAGAATTATTTAATTATTTTACACCAATTAATTGTGTTCAACTGTTCTTTGACATCGATGAACGATGGAATCAATTATTACATGAAAAAAAATATTTAACCCATCTTGATTATTTATCATCACAATACCTTTGTCCATCAACATACACTTATTTTTGTAGACGCGTTTTACCAAAAATTTATCATCAAATTGTATCATTATCTATTAATGAAAATATAACATGTGCAAAATTAAAAACATTTCATTTTATAAAAATGAAGAATTTAAAATATTTAAAATTAAGTTTTATCTATCAACCAGAAGATTTAGATCAATGTTTACAACAGTTAGAAAAGAACCACATTGAATTAGGTATTCAATTTATGAATCGTTGTAAAAAAGAATTTTTTCAAATTTTATTAAAACATATCGATAACTTTGAAGCATTTCATTGTTCTGATGCATTAAATTTAAAATTTAACCGTCAGTTATTAACAGTTATTAAATCTAAAATATTTAACGATTTGGCTAGAATGTTTGAGTGATTTATGTACATTATTCACTTATTTACCATTATTAGAATATTTATCAATTCAAGGAACTTCTCGTACTAATTTGGATGATAATGAACNAATTAGTACCTGGTGGTCATCGTTCATTCGATTATGACTTATTCGATCGAATTATTCGAAATTTAACAAATTTAAAATCTCTTTCATTTGATCTATTTACAAAAGAACGAAATATGGATGGTTATCGTCTACAAAAAACATTATCATCAATGAATTTATCTTATTTAGAATTTCGTTTAGTTTTATGTTACTGTGACTATCCATGCCATCGTAATCCTCAAATAACAAATAAAAATATATATTTATGTTCAACATTTACGCAAATTCAACAATGGAATATTTGTTGTCATTATGATGTATTAAGACAATTATACTTAATTTATACGAAACCGTGGATGAATAATGTTGCATTTGGTTGGATATTTGAAGTATTGATCAATACGGAATTAAAAAATGATTTTTATAATGTTAAATATGTTAGTTTTTGTAATTCAGATAAGCAACATTTAACGTTTAATTTATTAACAAAATATTTCCCGAATATTATTCATCTGAGATTATTTCAAGCATTCGATTCTTCTCCTTCTTTATTATCGTTAAGAAGTACAACAGAAATAACAAAACCATTAATATTAAATTATTGCACGACATTAATAACACATGATAGTACTTCAACATCATATTTTAATCGTATTTTATCTGTTTTACCAATTTAGAATATCTTACAGTACAAAATAATTGTTTATACGAATGTGAAAAAAATTTAATACCAAAACGAATTCGACGATTAAATTTAATTGTAATAAATCAGTTGTATGAATTAACGAATTTCACATTATGTCGTTTTCTACAATTTTTAGAATGTTTGTGGATTGAGGATAACAATGATACATCATCATTAGAAACAATGAACATTGTACAATTAGTAGAACAATTATTCACACAATTACCATGTTTATACAATTTTAAATATATAAAAGAAAAGAAAAATATTGATTTTAGTACAGAATCATTTGATAAAATGCTTTTGTTTTATAGTGTAGAATTAGAGGACAACTGTTTAACAATATGGAAATAAATAATAGATTAGATGATGAATATTCAAAAGAATAAAATAAATAAATTATACATTTACAATATTTGCTAGAGTATATCATCATGTTAGCAGCGATTTATTTTTAATTTTATCTCTATCAAAGTGAGAATAATTGAACATTAACCAAAAACATTTGCCCTGAAACAATCTTCAACACTATATAATCGATTTGCGTGAAAGATCGGTGAAGAATGGCATGACATAGAATCAGACTATGATGAAAATTACGTTTCATCATATGGAATTGTTTTTGTATTCTCAATGTTTAAAGATGATACCTTTTATATGACAATTATAATCTTATGAGAGAACATAAACGTTATTCACTATAAGTCGTAGATATCTAGAAGACGACTAAGACAATGTTCGACATCATATCTAAGCACACAAGTTACTATAAGTAAAGAGTAAAAATTAAACTGAATTATGTGGTGCCACTTTTACGGTTTGACATGAATAGGAGGAGATAAAAAAATTATGTTAGATGTAGAGAAAAAATGAATTAAATCGTTGTATGAATTTTAATGCTTCTGATTTACCAATGTATGATCGTCTTAAAAGATCAATAGACGATAAAGATTTGTCATTACGATCGATTCATATCCAACCGTGAAGCCTCTTACAGTACAATGAAAAATTTTTCTTTTCATAGCATGAACTAGAGAGTTCAATTCGATTCTTTCCAGAACTTACCTACTACGATCTATATATTAATAAACAAAATAGGAGAAATAATGAATTTAAGTACCTGCGAAAAATTGGAATGAATTAACATGCATTGATTTTTCGCACATTCCTATGGATCAAATGACGATGACGGCAAACAATTTTTTACACGCCTTCGTATCCTTAACTTTGCATTTTTAACGATTCCTGATGTCCTATGAGATAAAGGATGAAGATAGTTTGTGGTTTAAGAGACCTTGTGTGCGTTCTTTGAGACGTAGAAGAATTTATTCAGCTCAATACAAATTCTCATTAAGAGCTAAATAAAGAAGTCATCTTTTGTTGTTTGACGAGTTCTTGTCTAAGGACATCGGAACTAACTGTACCCGAATCAAATTTACCCTACAAGATCTGTCACTTTTTTTAACGAAGTCTTATCATAAAATCATACAGTACGATCTTACATGATCTTGTAGTACGATCATACTACTTGTTTATCATTTAAATCGAAAGATAAAAGATCTTATAAGAGCTGGCTATAAGAAGTTTGATTTATTCTCGATAGTAAACAGAAAGGGCGTAGACAACAGCTGGAGACTTATAAACATCTATCTCGTGGTAAGCAAATGCAGACACAAAGATAAAAGAAGTGCAAAGTAGAATGTTTTGCTACTTTTCTACGTACAGAAAGAAAAAATGACATTATAAAGAGAACAAAAGAAGAGCGGTGTTCTTTGAAGTTGAGCGAAGAACTCGATGAACTGTACTGTTCAATACAGTGGAAGTCTACGGCAGCTTCAAAACCTCCACTTTTGAGTGTACTCTGACGAGACCTTTTCGCGTTACAACGGAAATCATTGGAAATAACGCTGTGAAGAGGGGAAAACAACGACGTTTAAATTATGATAAAGTATCAGATAAAAACACTTCTCATGGACGATGTTTGTTCTAGATTCAGTTACCGGGTAAACATGGCCTAGGTTTGCTAGCTGAGTCTAGAACTCTTTGTTGGCGGTTTCTGAATCAGTTAAAGATGTTGTGGTTGTTGTCTCAGCGATACATATTCATCCTGGCGGGCATATGACACAATATGCCGCTCCCGTAAGATCTGTATAAGATCCATCTGGACATAGATCACAAACTATTCCTGCTGGACACAATTGTTGTGCAACTGCCGGTTAGGGCAGTAATGTCCTGGGAAATAAATGTCGCAAAACGTTGAACCTGTCCTTGTCGTCTGACAACCAGGCTTGCATGTCTGACATTGAGTTTGACCAGAGTTGCTATAAGTCCCTGGTGAACACAATTTTGGTACTACATCTGCACTATCACAGTACGACCCACTTGGACAGGTATCGCAAACATAGGCACCGTATATAGCACTATAATTTCCTGCTACACATGGTTCACACGCAGTCTGTCCGATTCTTTATTTACCGTTCCTGGTGGACACGTAACTGGTGGTTTGGACGGATCATCACAATAATGACGAGGTGGTACATCACAGTAGCTCAAACCATTTTCCGTCGTGAAAGAACCAACTTCACAAGATGTGCACGACGTCTGTTGGTAATTACTGTAGTCCCTGTGAATAACGCAAACAAACTATCTTCATCCTTCATCTCATAGGACATCAGGAATCGTTAAAAATGCAAGTTAAGGATACGAAGGCGTGTAAAAAATTGTTTGCCGTCATCGTCATTTGATCCATAGGAATGTGCGAAAAATCAATGCATCTTAATTCATTCCAATTTTTCGCAGGTATCAATTGTTTAAAAGTAGTAACCTTGGCTAACATTGTAGAAGAAAATAAAAACTTAACGGATTGTTGTCTTTCGTTGAATGTTTTCAAAGTACTCAAGACAATGACGTGAAAAATGCTTTTGTTCGATCAGTTCCCTTATTCTATTCACGAGTTGCATGGAAAACCGAATCGAATGATATAAGTGTCGAAAAATTAAATTGAATATGTGGTGCCACTTTTACGGTTTGACATGAATAGGGGGAGATAAAAAAATTATGTTAGATGTAGAGAAAAAATGAATTAAATCGTTGTATGAATTTTAATACTTCTGATTTACCAATGTATGATCGTCTTAAAAGATCAATAGACGATAAAGATTTGTCATTACGATCGATTCATATCCAACCGTGAAGCCTCTTACAGTACAACGAAAAATTTTTCTTTTCATAGCATGAACTAGAGAGTTCAATTCGATTCTTTCCAGAACTTACCTACTACGATCTATATATTGATAAACAAAATAGAGGAAATAATGAATACATCACTTTTTGGCGATAAACGCTCAATGAATTGCTTTTACTAACAATAAGTAAAAGAAACGAGAGAATTTTCTCGTTGCAAACGCTCATGTTTATCGCCAAAAAGTGCTTTGTTCTTTCTGATGGGAAAAAAAAGCTGTTTCGAAAGCAACTCAACCTTCTGTGTTTAAAAATAGAAAGCTAGAACAACGCCTACATGAAGCAGTTTAGCTAATTGAGTAATAATGTTAAGCCTTTTAAGTAACAAAACCGAGAACACATTTTGCTGTTCTTCACTTTCAGCGTTATAAACGTTTGAGAAATTCTGCTGCTTCATCCCTCGGATATAATAAACACAAGACGTTTAGGAAAATATGAAAGTTTTTCTCAAATGCTACAACATTTTGGTCTCCGATTAATAAATTCCCTAAGATACTTCTCCAGAACCAAACTATTTCGGCAATAACATAATCTTAAATGCCTTTTTTGACCGTGCCAATATGTTCAGTGAAGTGCATTCCTACGTTCCAAGTTTCCTGCTGTCCTAGTTTCCTTACTTTCTGTTTTCCTACTTTCCTAGTTGAGTAATAATGTTTTATTAGAAAAACGGATGGACATTTTGACTTCGAAAAGCCTTTCTCGCGGTAAAAAAAGAAAAAGTACAAAGACAAAATAAAATTGTAATTGTGTCAGTCAAAACATCCAAGAAGAAAGAGAGAAATTCTCTCGTCGTAATTCTTCCTTTTGAAGTGTGCAATTCTGCTGTGTCGTAAAAATAGTTGTTTTATCAACCTCAGTTCTCAAGGAAAGTGTAAAACAAATTAAAATAGTTAACAAACTGTTCTCTAATTTTGCTTCTGCTCACTATTTAATTCCCTGTTAAGTTGTTCAACTAGTAAAGAAAATCCTAAGCTTTCAGTCAACGAAATAAAGGATCTGACCAACATAGAAGGATGTGTCGGTAAAGTCAAGTCCAAGTGGTGTCACAATCACCGACTATTTGAGGAGAGGCCATTTTGTCTACTATCAAAAAACATGAAAGCTTGTAAGTTTTCTGTGAAGGAAACTATCACAATGACTGAACAACAGTCATATTTCACCTCATTGTCTTCACTACAGTGAAAAGACTCATCGAAAGATGACAGTCCGTTAATCTCTCTATTGCCGTCTACAACGTTCTTCAAGGTTATTACTTTTAAAAACAGAAAATTGAATCGTTTACAAAACACTTATCTTCCATGAATAAATCACTTTTTGGCGATAAACGCTCAATGAATTGCTTTTACTAAAAATAAGTAAAAGAAACAAGAGAATGTTGTCGTTCGAATTCTCGATTCTGACGTGCGCCACTCTGCTGTGTTGTTGTTAAATCATAAGTACTAAAAATTCTTCTATGCATCGCTGAAATGATCGTAAAATCGTTGACGAGCACGAAAATTCCAACGTATCCATATTCAAAATGTATATGGCTCATAGTCGTTCAAATGACGCAAAGCTGGGAGTTATTTCTTTTCGTTATCGAGATATTTGGCTTACAATATACTGGGCAGCGAAAATTCCGAAAAGGTCTCGTTTAAAAAGAGTCGACCTATTCGAAGGGGAGATTTTTGCTACAACCGTATTTTGTGATTCATGTGAGTAGTACTGAGTCAGACTAGATGAATCCTAAAAGGATTTCCTTGAACAGGCCTATTTGGCTAAGATATGAACATTTCAAGTTTAGGATCGAAAATGTAGATAGATTGCCTGTTGTGCTTGAATTACAATGCTGACATATATCAAGACAGAATTTATTGTTGAAACGTTCATCGATAAATCGTGGAGCTGCCGAAAGAATTATGCTGTGATGTTTATTTGATGATCTAGCTGCTACATAAACGAAGCACCAAGTATTCATATTTTATAACAATAAGACTATTTCACGAGGGAAGGCCCCCAACTTTAAAATCGCTTTCGAACTGAAACTCAGTGGACAATAGGTAATCGAGGGTCTTTTTGAATTCGAACATCACAACTGTTTGGGCTAATGTTGGGTTTTTGAACCAGTTTTTCAGAAACTCCAAAAAATAACCAAAAGCTTTCTTAACAAGGCAGGATTGTAGCGCACAAATTTCTGATTAAAGTGAGACATCTCCAAAAACCCAACATTAGCCCAAACGGTTGTGATGTTCGAATTCAAAAAGACCCTCGATCAATCTCGAAAAATCTGTTTCAGCTGTATATGCTGTCATTAAAAGATCTAGATTTTTTTTCTTTTTCTGCACAATCCAAACATGATTGAATGATTTCTAGATCAGTGTGAGACATTTCATCACGTATACAATTAAGTCGATGAGAAATATGTTTTTCTTTCCAACCATAACTGGAATGTCTATAATGATACTTACTTGCAACTTCAGCTGCATCATCATCACTTTTTACCCACTCAATGCGACCTGTACCATCACCAAAAAATCTATTTGACAATGGACGAATGAATAATTTCTTAACATCTTCATTTGGTGCTTCTTCGTATGGTATACAATTATAATTATTTTTTAGTGAACGTCGAGCACGACTATCTAATAATAATATAACAATTTCTCCATGACCATAGTACGTAGCAGCATGAAGGGCCATGGAACCATTTGGTTGTTTCTTATTAATTTCTTCCAATGACGTTGTTAGAAGTTGTTGTCGAACTCTTTCCACATCACCGTTACGACAGACAAAATAAATGTCAGTCGGTAGTGATGAGGGTGTTAGAGAAGTGGCCATGCTTTTTCTCCCGTAATCTATAATAAATGTTCTAACGTTAACATCAAACAAAAAGCAATAAATATATAATTTAATTTGTTATGTAACAAGAGGGTATAGTATATCGTTTGACAATTTTTTATCATGCTTATCTATATTCGCTTCAATTTCTTGTTTTTTTCATTCATATATGCAAGAATTTATACTGCATATTCGCTAGCAACAGAAATGTAAAAGAAAGAAAAACAGCAATAATTATATTTTTTATAAACAAGAATTGTTAAAATTTCAAAGTACCTTGCTGAAGTATAACTTACAATGTCTTTCACAGACTTATCTGTGCTATGCCAGTCGCACGCCCGACATAAACATGCCTATATCTCATCGTGTCGTCCTGTGACACCATTGTATATATTACATCATGTTTTTCTGTTACGCTCTTTCTTTCTTTCTTCTTTCTTTCTCGCCTATATATATACACAAGCATATACTGTACTGGGGAGGTGCTTTTGAATAAACTATTTGTACATACAAGTGAAGATTCGTACAAGTTAGGCAGAGCCTAACAATTGGTGCACTAGCCGGCTTACTGTCAGTCAGACATCACAGTAAGTACAACCCGTGGTGTTTTCTTTTCTTATCATCACAACAAGATGGACCAGATTGCGATACAGATGCCCGAACATCAGCATGACCACTTCTCAACATCAGTGATAATATCTGTATTAGCTAAGGCGATGAAAGAAGCCCCGAAATTTTCTGGCACAAACCATGATGATGTTCAACACTGGCTGTTTAGTGGAAACATTCGGCATTATTAATCTGAATTCATCACATAGACTTCAATTAATACCCCTATATCTTGATGGCGAAGCGAAGAATTGGTGGCGATTAAATAAAGATAGCATTCACTCATGGCCGGAATTTATGAGCAGAATCTCGAATGTGTTTAGAAGATCTGATCAACACTCACTTTCATTTCACCAACTGAATAATCATATACAACGATCCGATGAATCTGTGATTGAATACTATAACACGATGATCAAATTATGTAATCAAACTGATCCGAATATGACTGATACTTCCAAATTAAATTATTTACAAATGGGTTTAAAGCAGTCATTACAAAAAGACGTTTTTCGTCGTCATCCACCAACGGCATCTCAATTCTTTCAAGTAGCACAAGAAGAAGAATCATTACAAACTTTTGTTCGTAACCAGGCAGCGTTAACTGCCTCGGTCGCTTCCCTCCAGTCCAAAGCTGAGCCAGAAACGTCTGTATCATCTGTTCAATGTTCACCTCAAAAACCAAGTGCTCATCCAGCACCATATCATCAGAATTCGTCTGCTACAAAAAGTTACAATCCTCCTCATTATCCACAACCTACTAATAGAGCACATACCCCAAAGAAAGCATCTCCACGCTGTTTTGGATGTGGTAAACTCGGACATTTCATCCGCACTTGTATTCGACATCCTCCAAAAAAAGCCTGTCACCGCACAAATCCTTCGTTGGCATACATCGGTGTGTTTCTTCTGGGAAAAGAATCCGAGCCCTTGTCGATACTGGTGCTACACATTCATTTATAACTCAAGGAACCCTCGGTAAGCTGCGACATTCGCCAATACACTCATCAAAAACTACCGCACATCTCGCTGATCAA